AGTTGATGAAGATTCCTGGCCAACAGCAACAGCGACAACAACAACAACAGACAACAATCAGCATAAATGGAAGAAATCTGAAAGAAGCAAACTCCTTCAACTACCGACCTAGGAAGCATCGATTCAACTACAGGCGGAACTGATGAGGATGTCAAAGCAAGGATCGGGAAATCAAAGCAAGCCTTCATTTCTCTCAAGCCTGTTTGGAGGTCAAAAGCACTCAGTATGAAAATGAAAATAAGATCCGGATTTTCAACTTTAATGTGGAGTCAGTGATACTCACTTCACGGATCAGAGGCTTGGTGCGTCGTGAAGAGCACTTCGAACAAACTACACACCTTTATCAACAGCTGTTTTCGCTCAATACTACTCATGATCAGATGGTCATAAAAGATCAGCAACAGGGAGGGATCCCTGGGTGCGAACCGACCCAGCAGGCACTGACTGTGCCACAAATAAGCAGGAAGAGATGAAGGTGGATTGGCCATACTCTGAAAAACAAACCACTATCAAGTGAAATCACATGCCAGACCATCGCTCGAGTGAGATCCGAATGGGAAGCGGCGGGTTAGTTGGCCATCAGTGCGAGGGTGACATGGAGGAGATCATGTGAAGAGGAGATGAAGGCATTTGGGCAGACAATGAGCCAGGTGAAAATGTTGGCAGAGAACCGAACTGAATGGAGATGTGCGTCTGAAACCCTATGTTCAACTTGGAACCAATAATAATATAATAATTACTATTACCACCAAGGTAATACTAAGTTTATGTATGATAGAGGGTTACTTAGTTTTGGATTCATCTTATTTGACTAAAAAGCACCTCCAGAACTTGAAATCTGAGGAGAAACGCCCACGAGAGCGGCAAAAGAAGCAATACTAACAATTACAACAACAACAACCCTTATTACACAAAATATGCGGTATATTCTATTTATAAAAACCCTCAGAAAATTAAGCCATAAATAAACGAATCAGAAATGTCCAATCAGGTGTCATGATTTCATTGCATGCGTAAACTGTAACTTCATGGCTAACAAAGAAGCTAAGCACTAAGCACACTAAGCATGATATAGAAAACGTTATTAGTCAAGGAATATAGCACAGAGAGAAGCTATTGTGAAGCTAAAGTTAGATGAAATTCCTGTCAGTACCATATGTGAAAAACATTCTAACACTGTAATTATAAACAAATGTGATCACACACACACACAGAGAGAAAAGAATTAAATCTTCACTAATTGATCTTGCTAAATTTCAAATCTGCGTAGTCGTAGGAATTTGAATGGAATTACTATACACCAGTAAGTTTTTTAAAAATTACTCCTTAAAATAACTAAAATAAGAAAATCTTACTGAGACATTGTGAAATAGACGGAGGATCTTTTACACTAGGAATTTGATTGGTCTTCCTTCATTGAAAATCATCAAACTTAATGTTATTTCCTCAAGTTTTATAATCGCATATGGAGAAATTCCTTAGCAACACAAGGAATGTTCTCAAAGATATTTCATTAGAATTGTAAGTTTTATATAATAATTACGTAATACAGAAGACGTTAATCAGATAGAAAGTACATATGTGAACACACTGATTTAAGGAGATTGTCAAGGAACTTAACCCTAAGTTCCTATTATTTGGGAAGACAACTACGATCGATTATCGACTTTAACTCCAAAACACCAGTACTTCTAGTAACTTGTATTGTTTGGCAATTAAATCGAAAATGATGCAGAAGTCTATAAACAAATCTTTTATAAGGAATGTACTGTACTTTGGTTCGTATTCTTTCGTCTTCTTCCAACTTGTACACGATTGAGCCATTCGCGCCTTCGAGTTGCCCGCCAATGGCAACCAGTTCCAATAAACAAAAGTGCAATGTTCACGTTTGTGTACAGAGATTGAACATAGGAATACCTACGTACTTTCAAAGGAGTAAACTTGATAAAGGTCACTCCCTCCACTTATCTAGGCGGCAGATGGAGGCATAGATGAGAATGTCGAAGTAAGGAGGGATCGGAAAAGTTAAACAGATGCCTTCATTCCTCTGAAGTCAGTTTAGAAATCTTCTGTCCTAAGCATACAGAACAATATTGGAATTTTCAACAGTCCGTTAGTTCTTCTATACAAATCAGAAACTTGGCTCACACGTCACGGAAGGTCTTTCTAACAGGCTGCAGCAATTTTTCATCAACAGCTAGCTTCGTTGGCTCCATCACTGAAAATCAAATGGTCGGTCAGAAAGAGTTAGTAACAAGAAACTCTGCGAACGAATCAATCATGAAGCTGTTGTTCAAAAAATATTCCGTGGAAAATGGAGATAGATCGGAGAAACACTGAGAAGACAGTCGGTTGACGTCACATGACAAGTACAAACAACCTCGAGTGGAACCCGAATTGAAAACGATGAGTTAGGTGTGGATTCGAGGCTGACGTGGTGGAAATAGTATGAGGAGAACAAACATCGAGTCGGCAGAAGGAGACTGGAGAGAACCGGAGAAAAATGGAGATTTCGTGTTGAAGCCCTATGTTCCACTTGAAAGCCACGAGTATAATAATAATAATAATGATAATAACTAAATGTCAGCTTATTGTAGCAATGTGAGGGCTTTCTTTCGTAAGAACTTTTTTCCGTCAAATTTTTGATCAACAGACGTTATTTTTTTTAACAAAATTGTGTAATTTTAATTTAATTTGAGATTTTCCCGTCGATTGATTGGATCGAAGTGCTCGGTCTCAGGTTGACATGTCGGCTTCTAGTGCGGATGCTTCGACTATATCTGGACATTTAATTCGTATTTAATTGGTGGATGGTGACTAGCAGTGGAATCCAGGATAAAGCGCATTTCGTCCTATTTGGGACTCGTCATCTGGATGAAGCCGCATTTCTCAGTGACTGATGATGTTCCCACTGAGGCTCGAACTCAGTGCCCATAGTTTCGAACGCCAAAGCATTATCCTGAGATAGAGCACTTCGGTGTAATCAATCGACGGGAGAATCTCAAATTCAGTTAAATAACTAATATGACCCGTTGCACAAGAGGTGGTGGCTCTCATGGCCCAAGTGGTCTAATGGATAACGCTTTGGCGTTTGAAACTATGTGCGCTGAGTTCGAGCGTCGGTGGGAACACCATCACTCACTGCGGAATGCAGCTACATCCAGGTGACGAGTCCCAAATAGGACGAAATGTGCGTTGTCCTGGATTCCACTGCTAGTCACCATCCATCAATTAAAATTGTGTAATATCTAGACGAGACTGTAGAAAACTGTCAATGGCTTCAAGTTAGTATGTTGGCCTGGTCTGACTGCAGTTTTGTTTACACGTTGGTTGAGTTGCAAGCGTTTATGTGTTTCAGCTGAACTCTTCTGAAATATTCCCACTATAAGAAGAAATGAATAGCAATCGTTGGGTGGTATTTCCTACTAAATTGTGTTTTATGTTTTGTGTGAGAAAGCCCTTCCTTTCATTTTGACATTTTAGATTCATTTTATGGGCTATCCGAATAGTTTCATAAAGAAACATATGAGAACATCAGAGAAAAAACCTGAGACTCTGACTGCATGTAAGAAACCTCTATTTATTCAGTTACAATTTAATGGTGACTTATCTAGTGAGATTTTGTTCCAGAGACTATCCAGGAGTATACGGAGAACGTTTTATGCAGCATATCTATGTTTGTCATTCTCCAGCAGACGAACGATTGGGACGCAAACGAAGGATAAGCTAGATAGTTTTGCCACATCTATGTGCATTTATCAATTCAACTGCACCTACGGTGACAGTTATTTTGGGCGTACTACTAGACAGCTTAGCCAGCCAACGTGTTAGTGGACATCTCCCATCGTGGTTTGGCAAAGGACAGACAAAAATAATCCATAGCTTAATTCTGTCACATTTAATTGATAGTGGTCATGTAGTGGAGAAAACGAGAGCCTTCAAAGTAATTCATCGTATCCCACTGAATCTTTCCAATAGACTTCGTATTCGTCTACTGCACACAGCTGAGGAGATAAGCATTCGAACTATTAAACCTAAACTATGCATTCAAAAGAAGTTTGTACAACCATTATCCCTTCCTTGTTGGCCTATTACGACATAACCAACTAATGACGTCTACACCACCCCTTGTTTATATTTTCAACACCCATCTTATCATCCCTTAATCTTATCACATCTTCATTTTAAGAAGACTTGATTGATTACATTAGTTACGAAGACTTTACGTGGTTATTAATTTAAGGGAAGTGCTAATCCCCTCCAGGCGGCGTATTTAGTCACAAGTCCATTTGAACAAGGAGAAGAAGAAGAAGCAGAAAATCTTTCGAATACTTCACTTCCTCAATGTATACAATAATTTCAATGAATACAGAGCCTCGCACGCACACATACTCACACACATGTTCAAAAACACAGATAAGGTCATTGCTTTGATATAAATAACTCGTCTCTTAATTTTCATTGGTCAATACTAACAAATATATTGACTGGTACATGTCTGTCTATCTATCTATCCATGATGCATTCATCTAATTAATTAATTAGTTAAATTGGTTAGTTAGTTAGTTAGTCAGTAAGTAGGTGGTTGAAGAAGCAATTAATGCCTTTCAAGCACACCACACACACATAAGTGTATCATTAAGCCTACACCATACAACATAATGTAGACACCAATGACAAACATACAAATAATATTATAATAATAAACGAGATTTTCGCTCTATTCTCCTACTTCAAAAAAACAAAAATTCTTCCATTACAAAACAACAAATGAAATTGATGTTGACTACAACAACAATAATGCTGATGTCGATTTATTCACAATCATAAAGTTGTCTAGTAAAATAACACCATTTTTAAATTGACGCCATACAACACCAAAATAGATATTATATTGAGAATTGAACATTGGACATTGAAAGCTATCTATTGAAAGCTAACTAAATTAACTTTGTCACATTAGATTGCTTGTTTCACAGTGTATTGAGAAGATAAAAGTCATGGAGAAATTACAACAACTTTTACAACAACAACAGCAACAACAACAACAAATACAAAATCAATTGTATCAGAATTCTTTCAGGTTAGGTGAACAACCTCCTCGAGAAGAAGACGAAGAAGAAGAAGAAGAAGAAACAGGAGAAGAAGATATCGAGGAAGAAGATGAATCGCTACAAGAGTTCTTACAACCTCAATCACAACAACAGAAACAACAATCACAGGAGCAGCAATCACGACGATTATCTAAACCTGAGCTTCCAGCAGCACAAGAACAATTACTTCAACAGAAATTGTCTGAATTACAATCCTCATCGGGTAAAAAACAACCAGCCCCTGAACCACCAATCCAACAGCAACAACAACAACAACAAGAATCGAAAAAGCCTGAGTTTTCAGTCCGTCATCAACCAATACCCCAACCTGTATCACAGCAGCAGCAGCAGCAACCATCAAAACAAGGACAGAAGTCACAAGCACCACCACCACCGCCAACATCAGCTGCACAACAGCAACAACAACCCGCAGCTATGTTAAATGGTGATCATTTAAAGCATGACTCTGAATTGACAAAATCGCCTATAATTCAAGTGAATCAATTCGATAGAAAATTTCGTAATTCATGGCGTAAATCACCAGAGGATTTTACAACGAAACAGCAACAACAGCAAATGGTAATGAAGAAAGCAAGTAAATTATCAGAGAATGATATTAGTTCACAAGCAGATGAAGAGGAGGAGGGCGATGTAAGTAAACAAATATTTATTTTATTTACATGTTTACACATGTATTATCTATGTTGATATTGGTAACCTGATTACATATACATAAATATATATATGCATGTGGTTTATGGTTTATTTAGGCGCTGTTTTGTATAATTAACAATGATTTTATGCTATTGTCCTTTGGGTCATTAAAGGGATTTCTAATAAAGAAGACAATTGTAGCGAAGAAAATTTGCTTTTCGACGAAGTCATCAACTAGACAGAGCTGTACATTCGTTTATTTATATCAAATGGAAGGGAAAGTTCCAAAATAATTTCCGGTTAATGGTCAAATTATTAAAAATTACAATTAGGAATTAAAATGCCATTATAAACGTAGGGGTGACGGATAAAACTCAAACAAAGTAGCATCATAATTAATAAGAAGGTTAACGTTGTGCAATTATTATTATTATTATTATTATTATTATTATTATTATATCCTTTAATTCCTAGAGGAACATAGGGCTTCAACCACGCGTCTCCATTGCCTTCGGTTTTCTGCCCACACGCTTTCACTTCCTGTTCACATGACCTCCTCCAAGTCACCCTAATACTGACGACCAACTCGCCGCTTCCCTTTCGAGTCCCACTCGAACGACGGCTTGTCTAGTGATATCACTTGATGGTTTCCTCAAAGTGTGGCCAATCCATCTCCATTTCTTCCTGCCTGTTTGTTTCACAATCGGTTCCTGATTGGTTCGCTCCCAGAGATCCCTGTTGCTGATCTTTTCTGACCAGCCATCAGATCTTGAGTATTGAGCGAAGACAACTGTTAACAGAGGTCTGTAGTTTGTTCGAAGTGCTCTTCATAACGCTCCAAGTCTCTGATCCGATTAGTAGTGCTGACTTCACATTGGAGTTGAAAATCCGGATCTTATTTTCGTTTTCATGCTGAGTGCTGTTGACCTCCACACAGACTTGAGATAAATGAAAGCTTGTCTTGCTTTTCCGATCCTTGCTTTGATATTCTCGTCAGTTCACTCTGTAGATGATACGATGCTTCCCAGGTAGGTGAAGGACCCTACTGGTCACGATTTCCCACTAGAACACTAGGTAACTACCTCTCTGAATAGGGCCAGTCGCCAGTGATCATCTCATTGATATTCAAGTATTGGTTTGTAGGGATTCGATTGATTGGTTCGAACTCCGGTGGGTGCTTACTGATGAAGAGTCCCAGACTAGGACGAAAGAGCTGTCCAGTACTCTCAGGCGGTTTTCCAATAGTTCTCTAACCAATATCAGCTCATGATGAAATCCTGGAACCAATCAATCAAATCTCTACAAACTAACTTTTGAGTATTCTGTTTGTTAGATGGTTGAGGGAAACCCACGACCTAAATTTCATGAGTGTTGACACTCACCAGTCAGCAAAGCGTATTTACACTCTGAGATTCGAACCCTTGTCACCCAGTGCGACAGTCAGAGATGTTACCATTAAGCTATTCAGGCTCGCCATCGACGTTCTTGTGTAGGGCAGTAACATATACTTTGATTAGAGACTAGGTAGTATGATCGCGAGTCACCTAGCATGCTGGCTATATTACAAACTTGACTGATGGAATTTAGTTTGTACTAAACAAAGGACTAGACGAGGATGGTATTATAACTACTTTGTGTCCACTCAAAGTATTGTTATCGATTTAACTTTCATTTTTATTTTTTGAAGGATTTCTGAGTTACATCACAAGCTGTTATTAGTCGAACATCTATTTAAAATTATCAGCTAGTACTGGACAGTTGTTTCGTCTCTGTTTGGGACTCTTCAATAGCAGCACTATAAATCCATGAACCCACGAAGGATGTAAGTTAGGAACTTATTAGGTTATCAGTCGACCATGTTGACCATTTATCCATACACTCAGGTGGAGTCCAATTAACGTCTAAGAGAAAGGAGAACCTTTTTGAATATATTGTCAGGCATAGAGACAAAAGCATGAAATTTCCTTTCACATAGAAGACTGTACAAAAACACTGCAAGTGTGATTCTGTTATCACGTGTTATTCTGAAAAGAGGTTTGAGGTTATACAATATTTTTTAGAAAAAAATGTTATTTATACTCTGAGGTACTAAAATAAAAGTAACCTTCAGTCACTGAATTACTACATCCAAACTACCATATATTAAGATTTAGTTTATTTGGCTTGATCACCTGGTTTTCACCTATTAGGTTCATGTTTTATTAGGTTTTTCTTCACACTTTCTTTCCATTGATGGATTATATTAGACAGTTCTATTTGGGATTTGAAATCATATGAATTTCTGACAATATTATGAGTGTCCTTTTGTAGTGGTTGTAGTATCGAGAGTAAGTATTTAGAGAGGTTGTATGTCGGTGAGTTGGTGAAATCTACTACTGGTCTTAATGGAACTGTGTGTTTATGTATCTTTGCTTGACCTTAGAATCTTGAAGGTACATAAGATTTTGGTTTTAGTTTAAACCAGATTTGTTTGACTTCTGAACCTTCACATCTTTTGTACTTGTTAATGAGTACCTGAGGGTAACCGTTGTTCTTCAACATCTCTTCGAGAATCAGAAATTCTTCCTCTAATTTTGCCGACTATATAAAATAGAGTTTTGAACAATGCTCATTTACAGCGTCGGTGGCACAGTGGTTAGGTCTCTCGCCGACCATGCACATGGTCCGGGGTTCGAGCCCGCACCGACGCACACCTGATATCTATGGTTGGCCTGCAAAATTTGGGCCACCGATATCCATGCTGAAAATTCCATACTTGTACCGAAAATACAGTGTGGAATAAAGCTGTAAATCAAAAAAAAAATCAAAAATATTTGGACAGAAACTACTTTTTTGTATCTCTTGGAATGTATGACTAGTAATAATATTTCTTACAATGACTAAGATAATCGGCTTGTTATCAGTTTCATGAATTGATCCGGTGTAGTCTCTAAAGTTACTTTTATTCTCAATGACATTCATTAGTGCACGATGGTGTATTCTACAGCTTGGTACGATTAATTGCAAACTGATCGCATCACCCAGCTTGAACTGATTGAAACACTTGGTGGCTGACTGTTTCTCTCGTTAGGGACCATACTCATCAGTGTTTTACCCAATTTGACTCACCTTAGTCAGGGAATAGAATCAATCCGAAACACACGTACCCCCATCCTTTAATTCTAGCTATCTGACTAACTGTCATATAGGTTATCAAGTAAATGACATACTGAGTTCTGAATATTTCGCAGTTCTACAAGAAACCGTGCTGATTTCACACGTTGAACTATGTAAGTTATGGAAATTGTGGCTCAGTACCCTAAAAATTAAACTGCTAAGAAGCCTTGAGACTGACTCCACCTATTGAGTTTTTCCAAGCAAGTTCGTATTATCAGCTTTTACACTGTATGTATGGTTTGCTGGCAAATATATTGACTAGTATCTACTTGTAATTTTTGATGAGCACGTCATAAAAAAAAACGATGTTCAGTCAATCATTATATTGAATGACGTAACATGAATGACAGGACTGAGTATAGCTCAACTAGAATTTGAAAGAAGGCCAGTTTCACAAGAAACAGAAATGTAGTAATGGAAACCGAGGAACATAATAATAAAAGTTTTGTTAGAAACAGGATTACCAAAAATTACATATCAAGTGTCAAGACAAATGAGGGGCATTGTAGGCTCAGGGACTGGACAAATCTCTTCTTTTTAACAAGTGAATTGGCATGGCTTCTGCAGTTTGAAAAAAGTTTGATGTGTACTCCTTTGGGAAGATTTCCACCTACTCTATATATGCCTCTGAGGTTGGTATGTGGGTTCGATGATATTAGATAGCTGGAGGCAATCGGTAGGTTCCGTGCTAGTTGGCACTCACCATTCAGCAAAGCGTATGTGCAACCCTGAAGGAACGCAATTCCATTCTGAGATTCAAATCCGCGTCGCCCAGTGCCGGCTGCAGTCAGAGACGTTACCACTGAGCTCTTCGGGCTCACGATTGACATCCTGTAGGAGACTGTAGTTGGTATTTTGATTGGACACTAGTAACTAGTGTGACGTGTCTAGTCCTTTCTTTGGTGCTGACTAGTTACTAGTGTCCAGTCAAAGTATCCACTACAGTCTCCTACAGGAGGTCAATCGTGAGCCCGAATAGCTCAGTGGTAACGTCTCTGACTGCAGTCGGCACTGGGCGACGCGGATTTGAATCTCAGAATGGAATTGCGTTCCTTCAGGGTTGCACATACGCTTTGCTGAATGGTGAGTGCCAACTAGCACGAAACCTACCGATTGCCTCCAGCTATCTAATATCATCAAATCAATGTGCACCGTGATGGCGAGCTACCTAGTGGCGTGTTGGCCACAATGCAAACCTGACTGACTGATAGAATTCAGTCTGCACCAAACAATAAGGACTAAACACACGTCACACTAGGTACTAGTGTTCAATCAAGCAATGCAGATTCACTCAGTGTTTAGGATCTATCAAGTGTTCCAGAATCAAGCTTTCACGGGGTAGGGAGAGGGCAGGGGAATGTTTTTTCTCCTGTGTAAAACCACGAGGGTAAACATTTGATTATACATTTGGATAGGAGACTCTGAGTACGGCCAACACATCCAGCTTCACAGGGATAGATGAATTGAGTTCTACTCAATCATGTTTATTATAGATTACAACCTTCAATTAACTTATTTTATTTTTATATTTCTACTCGAATGAGGCTTTCTGTGTTCATTAACTGTCAGACCACTGAAGATGCTAAACAATTTATGCATAAATCTATTCAGTGTTTTGACTGACTTTTAATTCAATTTCATATAATAAGTTATAATTACCAATAAATGAATTAATTACTGTCATTTGTTATTATTTCATTACTTTTTCCCTGAATGCCTAATTAATTTAAATTAATATCAATTTATAATTAAAAAAAAACAACTATGAATTAGGTATACACCATGATATATAATTTTGACAGAATATGCGTTGACAGTGTATTACGATTACAGTTCATCTT